TTTATTTTGAAAAACAAATGAACGGATGTTACACAGATTCAGATGCAAATGCAACAATGGTGATTTGGTACAGAACAAAATCCCAGAATGTGGCTTTAATACTTGGTGCCATTATAAGTGCTTTAAAATGGTTGTGTGGTGCTGCAGCAGAAGTGGAGGTCCTTCATTATTTAAGACTGTCCATGTCTCTCGGGTTCCTCTGGACACGAACAGCCCCATTCTAAGTCTTTATTTATATCGTACACTCCAGCAGCAGACCAATGTAAAAGACTGTGGTCAAAAAATATGGAAAAGATGTACATGTGTATTTACAGCAGAGTGAAAGTAACTAATAGGGCTACAATTTCCTCCACAAACAGCATAAAACACAAAAACTGCTAACCCTGTAGTTTAGATCTGTACAAACACTTTCTGAAACATGACTCTTGTATTAGTTTGTCAGCTCATGTTTCTCTATTTTTGACAATTTTTGTGGATGTGTTGAAAATGTGACCTTTGAACAGAATCCTATTTTTAAAACAATTGTGTATCTAATCACAATTGCAATCCTTGTCAGAAAACTCAATTTGAAATTTCCACCTAATGGTTCAGGCCTAGTAAGTTATTACAAATACCCAAGAGTTCGACTACTTCTGCTTTTTGAGTAGAGTGCCTCCTGCTCAGAGTTTAAAGAAGATGCACACTGTGATTTAAAGCAACTCAATTGAGCTTAAAGCTATTTTTTCATGTGTACTTTATACCTCTGCTTAAGTAAACATTTGACTGCAATACTTGTAATTGAGTAAATTTTTAGCCATGTAAATATTCTAAGTACAGGTTTTCAGTATTCAGTTCTTTCCACCTCTGATATAATGGCTGCATAATTATTCATAACTAAATCAAGGTTATGATTGGAATTGTCTAAATTGTGATTAAAGTGCAAAGGCCGTACCAGCTTGTCAAAGTCTGATCTTGTCAGATCTCAGAAACTAAGCAAGGCCGGGCCTGGTTAGTTCTTGTACGGGAGACGACTGAGAACGCCAGGTGCCACAGTGGGGCGCCAGTGACAGAATCTGTCGTTGTGTCCTTAGGCAGACACTTCACCTACATTGTGTGTTATGAATGTGGAGTGTGCGTGAGTGCTGGTGGCGGTCAGAGGGGCCAATGGCGTAGACTGGCAGCCTTGCATCTGTCAGTCTACCCTATCAGCCCCAGATCAGCTGTGGCTACAGTAGTATCTTACCGTATCATACCAAGTGAGGAGTGAATGAACAATGAACTGTAAAGCACTTTGGGTGTCTTGAAAGGTGCTATAAATGCAATGATTAATTAATGATTAATTACAAAGAATGGCCTGAAACAACATAATGTGCTGTCTTTAAAGAAACTGCTGACCTAGTAGTAAAACAGACACGAAATATAATTGTTATACTTGTCAGATCAATCACAGATTAGTTTAGATTATTTTTTTCAAAATCATGGAGGCCTAGAAATATGTATGCAGGCAGTATTCATTTATTCATTCATTTTTCACTCTTTTTCTCTCTCTCAAGATTATAAAAAGTGTATCTAGTTTTACTCGACGAAATATCATGCAAATTTAATTATCTAAATCAATAATTAATTTAGTCATCCATTTAAAAAATTCAAATCATATTAATCACATTGCAGTGCTTCATAATAGACCTCACACTTGTACAGAGAACTAGATATATCTGTTAGATGTTTTTAATGGTAAGGTAATAGAATAATGCAAAATGTTTTATGTGGAACATTTTAGACAACACATAATATTTACAGTGTTGATCAAATTGTGGTCCAGTTTGAGTATTTGCTTTGTTTAGACACAAACTATACATGTTTTTATTCTCTTTTGGGTTAATCCTTATTTAGTCTGGTTTAGTCTCAGCCTGATGTGGTCCAGGTTTGGATCTGGTTGTGTTTGGAAAGCTAAATATTTTCCTTGGGGGTACTTGGAGTGAATCTTGGTGACAAAATGAGATCAGCTATGCCCTGTAGCAATACCAAGGACAGATGGTAAAGGTTATTTTCCCTAAAGTAGTAAAACACACTGCAGTACCATCGAAAATATGTTAGCTCTGGCGCACTCCACCTGTGCAGAGCCTAAGAGACATTTAAGAGCCTTCTACAAATGTCAAATCGATTCTTACTTTAAGTCCTCTCCCCAGACTTCAGCCCAGACTTCAGTCCGGACCATAAACTGAATATATAGGCTAGCATAACATAATTCACTTTCTATTGAAAAATTGTCATCTCTTTCTCTGTAACTGCTGAGTGAGGCTCATCATTCTGTCTTTAAAATGTTCATAAAGCGCTCTGTGTGATCCTGGTGTATTTTGTTCACTATTTCGTACCGAAAGCAAGATATGAACATTAATAACAGACCAATTATTCTATTTTTGATTGCAATGATACTAGGCTCAACAGTATTACGTCTTTCAGTCCACTTCATAGACTGTATCAAAAAGTGGACTAAGTGAGTGCCTGAGCGCCGTCACACAGGAGAAGCTCGTAGTAGAGCTGCTACTCCTCCACAATGTGAGGAGCCAGCTGAGGTGGCTTGGGCATCTGTTCTGGGTGCCTCCTGGACGCTTTCCTTGGGAGGTGTTCCAGGCACATCCCACTGGGAGGAGGACATGTCTGGGGTGAAGGAAATCTGGGAGTCCCTGCTTAGACTGCTGCCCCCATAACCCGGCCCCGGATAAGAGGAAGAAAATGGATGGATGGACTATGTCACCCACACTGCTCCAGTCAAATGAAGCTCACAGAAGCTTGCAAATGATTGGAGCGAATTTGGAGCCGAGTTCCATATTTAGAATTTCCAACATGAATATCTTGGCAAACAAAAAGTGAAAGACCAAAATGAGGACAGCAGTAGGTACAGAGACATGCAAAGGTTTTTCAGTAGAAAGTGAATTGGAGCCTTGATGGAGCCTGAAGCGCGCCTATGCTCCCTTCCTATTACTATCCTATCCAGTATTTGGAATGCTCTGTATAAATACTTCTGTATAAAGTCTCTGGCCCAGACTGCGGTCCAGAGTGAAATCAGGAGCTGCTCTTAAATGTCTCTTCTTGAGTTACGACTTATTTGTTTTTGTTCTCCACTTCACACCAGCGCAGTTTTAATGAGGCCACTGGAATCACAGCTCCAATGTTTCAACACTGACCATTAATCTACCCCCCCTTCTCTTCTCTCTCTCTGTCTCTTTCCACTGCGTCTCTGTCCTCTGTGTCTACATCCTTCTTCTCTTCTTGCTGTTCATTCTGTTTCGCCTCCCTCTTTCTTCCCCTTCTGTGGCCTACCCCCTTTCTTCCTCTTGCTCCTTCTTTTTCCCTTTCTCTCTATCACTCTCGCCTCTTCTCCTTTTCTTTCTCTCTCCTCCATCCTCTGTCTTCCTTCCTCCCAAACCCTCTGACTCCCTTTTCCCTTCTGTCCCCTATGTCCTTCATTCTCCTCTTTCTTCTTTCTTTAAACCCTTTCTTCTCTCTTTCTACCCTTTCTCCTCCTCTTCTACCAACCCCTCTCCTCACCACCTCTCTCTACCCTTCTGTCCCTCTCTCTCATCTCCTCTTCTATCTGTCTCTCTCCTTACTCTTTCCTCTCCCTGCTCTACCCATCTTCTCTCTCTCCCTCTTATCCATCCTCTCTTTTCTTTCCTTTCAACCCCTCTCCTCTCTCTTTCTTCTCTCCCTGATACCCATTTTCCCCTCTCCTCGCTTCTCTACTCCTTTCTGTCCTTTCTCTCCTCCTCTTCTACCAACCCCTCTCATCACACCCTCTCTCTACCGTTCTGTCTTCTCTCTCTCATCTCTTTCCTTCTCTCTACTTTTCTGTCCTCTCTTTCTCATCTCCTCTTCTATCAAGCCCTGTTGTCACCCCCCTTGCTCCTTCTATCCTCTTCCTCCTCTCTCTTTCTTCTCCCTGCTTTAATCCCTCCCCACTCTCACCCTTTTGTCCTCTAACCCATCTTCCGCTCCCTTTCTCCTCCTCTCCTTTCTGCACCACTCCGCTCTTTGCGTCTCCTCACCCCCTCTACCCCCTCCTCTCTCACATGCGCCTCTCTCTCCCCCTCCCTCTCTTCTTTCCTTCTTCCACTCGTCTCTAATCTCTCCCCTCCTCCCTCTCCTCCATTTCTCATGTTCTGTCCTTAGCACGTCCTGGGGTAGCCCTGGCTGTCATAACTGTATTCCTCAAATGTCCGTGGTCAGCTTGGAGGGTGTTAAGAACAGGATCAAGTTTATTCCTCTAATTTCAAATGAGTTCTTTCAACAGACACCACCTCCAATCGACTAAAAGGGCTTCAATAAAACTCTGTCAATGATCCTTTTCAACAGTACAACTAATACAAGTGAAATAAGGGCTAAACACACTTCACAACACAGTGTTTATGTGCGTATAAGCTTTTCAAAACTAGAGCAGCTGTGTCTGTCTGTTCGAACCTGGGCTCCTTCAGATGTTCCATAATTGCTCCAGGAATACATTGTGCGGGGGGGTAATCGCAAAAAAACAACAGCAAAAGCATGTTTTCTGTGTATTTTGAGTGTGATACACGCCCTACACTATTTTCTGAAATCTAGCATGGTTTGGAGCAGAGTTTAGAGTTTGTAGAGATATATTTGACCTTTTTTTTGTTAAATGGCTTTGATTAAAAGTCTCCTTAATTATGGGGTTCTCTCTGTGTTTTAGGTAGTTTTGGGTTTTTTTTGCTCATATAATGCCCAAACTATACAAAATCAGGAAAAACAAAATTTCAACAACAACAAAAGAGTCAGATACAAACCTATAAGGGGATGTTTTTTTGTGGATTTAATACTGAAAGCTAGATTATTTGTTTTTAATAAGAAAAGGTTACATAAAATTGCAAATCATGATTAATGAATACAAAGAAACTCATTATTGCTGTTTATGCGTTTATTCCCTTTTTTTGCCATATCGCCCAGCCCTTTTGCAAAGAAGCTCAGCACATGATAGATTATGGTATTTCTTGTTTCTCTTGCAGTACACCCTACTGTGTCCTTGTGTGTACCTCTGAGTTGAAGCGGATTTGGCAGACGTTACAGGAGATGATTGGTCGTTTGGTTTTGAGCAGCGGAGGTCCGAATGTGTGCGTCATCACAGCCTTCTGCACTGGGTCCATCTGAGGAGAGACAGCACACAGTCATCAGCTAAAAAGTATCTTTTACCTTGAAAATTACCACTTCATGACATCTCAAGGTGGAACAGAGTATTCTGAGCTTTGGAGATTTAGGCAGACTAATAATAAAAGGGTTATGTGAAAATGTGTGAATGAAACAAAACACAACTCAATGTATGTTTTTGTAGAGGAGAATCCAGTTTGTGTGATATAGGACCTTTAAGAATCATAAGAGATTTACATAGCTTCACTCCACAGTCTGATCTTGTGGTCATATGATTTGATTATAGATTATAGATTGAGTGTGTTCACATTTGTGGTTCATTGTAGTTGAAAGAGGAAAAAATGTACACATGCTAAGTAAAATTAAGGTTGACACTCAGCAGTTTGGTTAATGGGCCATACTGCCATTGTTCTCATGGGCAAGACACATATCTCACCTTGCTAAGTGAAAATCAGTGTTGGGAGTAATGTGTTATAAAAGTAACAAATTACTGTATTATAAACATCTACTCCGAGCTCCTCCCGTGTGACTGAGCTCCTCACCCTATCTCTAAGGGAGCGCCCAGCCACCCTACGGAGGAAACTCATTTCGAACGCTTGTATCCGCGATCTCGTCCTTTCGGTCACTACCCAGAGCTCATGACCATAGGTGAGAGTAGGAACGAAGACTGACCGGTAAATCGAGAGCTTCGCCTTTCGGCTCAGCTCCCTCTTCACCACAACGGTCCGATACAGCGACCGCATCACTGCCGAAGCTGCACCGATCCGCCTGTCAATCTCCCGTTCCGTCCTTCCCTCACTCGTGAACAAGACCCCGAGATACTTGAACTCCTCCACTTGAGGCAAAGACTCCCCACCCACCCGGAGAGGGTGGGGACATGGAATGTCAGTAATGTAGGGTATTACAGAAAAATTAAACTGTAATATTTTACTGGGTACAAATGTCAGTAAAGTGCGTTAGAATGCATTTTTAACCTTGATTGAAGTGGTGGGTTTTTTGTTTTTGTTCATACAAATTTGCTAAAATCACCGTGATATCAGCAGCGGTGAAACACCATCGTTATGGTTCCGAATGTCAGGACGGGCCCGGAGGTGCACCCATGTAGACCGTCAGGTAACCGCGGGCAAAGGACCAGCAAAGCTCCACCACAAAGCTCCGTGTGCAAAAGTTCAGCGTTTTGCAACAGTTATTTTGATGAGAGTTACTTAAAAGTAATGCAATAGTAGTGTAATGTCTTACATTTTAAATGCAGTAATATTGTAAAGTAATGAATTACCTTCAAATGACAGTAACAGTAATGTATTGGTTAGCAACCTTAACAGCAAAAGAATTTGAGTACTGGAGAATTAATATCATCTGAAAAAATGGTCAACCCCAACTCAAGTGTGGCTACAGGAGCAGCTTATAGCATCATCAAGAATGAGGAGTTTGTGAATAAGGCATGGGCTTTGGATGCTTGAGTTAAGCTTATTTTTTACATAGACACACACATACACAAAAAAACAATTATAAATCAGACTGAGGGCTTTTTAGTGATGGATACAGGAGCAGCAGCTGTGCCTCTTGGTCTCAGCTCAAACGATATAATTCACGCTGCGTTCATGATTACAGGCTCCACAGACCCACTGATGTGTTCTGCTCTGAGGGTTAAACTGGCTTTCACTCAGCAACCAGCCACATACAACAACCTAAAGGACATTTTCAGACTGTGAAGGTTAATGCCTCAATATACACAGACAGTTTTTAAATATTGTGTTTCTTCAAAAAAAAAAAAAAAAAATTGTCAGGGCTGAAAACAGGGGGAAGCTCAATATCTTTTTAGTATAGATATGTAATGTAATTTTAATACTTTGGAAAGACATTTTTGACATTTCCAATTATTTAACTTACACAATACCACTCTTAGTGTCCAAGAAAGTCAGGAGTAAACTTGTTTCAAAATGTTCCTTGGTTTCACGATTTTATATTTTCCAAGAATTTGATTGTTATAAACTTTAAAATGCTCTATTTTCAAGATATTGCAACAAAAGGTAAACATTCAGATTTTTTGTACTCATTCACTTATCTCCTTGTGAAGATAAGCTATTTCTGTTGTTATAGTTTCCTTGGGATAGACTGACGGAAGTGACACTGCCAATCTCCACTGATGGTCCCTCACATACCCCATTCATAGGCAAGGTGAGTGAAGTGTCTTGCTTAAGGACACAATGACAATATGGGATCAAACCTTTTAGTTAGTAGTAGTATTGATAGGCTTTTTATTTGTACAGGGGCAGTGCACAACAATACATAAACCAAGACAAATGTCATAGGTCAGTTGCTGGTGCTAGGTTATAGGGTTATATATATAGGTTATAGGGACTACCGATGCAAATTAGCTCTATCAGCTAACTCGGGCACATTTACATTGTTTTGATGTTGATTAATGTGCATTGTCCCTTTTCAAATATCATATCATAAATGTTGATTTACACCTGTAGTGGGTAATTGCTGAACCTGAGCCACTGTTTAATATCTGATATCCATGGGTTTGTGGGACCAGTGCCATAGCAATGACAATTTAAAAGATAGTGTGACTGTAGTCTTTTGAATCTTAAAAAGTCCTCAAAATGTTGGGTATAACAGGAAGCTAAAACCCATGAATACATTTGGGCTGAACGATATATTCTAAGCTTTTTAAAATTGCCTCAGAGCAGTATATGTTAAGAGACCATGACTTAATCTCAAATGGTGAATAATTTAAAGTCAAGTTGGTTTTTCAAGGTCTTTACCAAAGTACCTGGAGCTATCGCTGTGTTTTAAATTACTTCCCATAATTCTGTAATAGTTCTATAATAGTGTTCATTTACTGATTTTATTTTATTTTTTCAGCACAAAAATTAACCAAGATTATTTTAGAGACTGTAGATTAGAAACAATAGACTGTGGCTAATTATGCAACACAGTTATTGTAGTGAATAAGGATACACTAACAGTGATACTGATACTGTATAACCCCAGTACAGGAAAATTAGCTGGTTGAGCTGAAGTTTGATTGATTTTTGGCCCAATTGACTTTTACTTATGCATTGTCCACTGAGATATTTTGAACCAAATAATCTTTGAGATATGGTGATGAAATACTTCTAGATATAGAAAATTTAGTCCTACAGATACAGTGTATTATTGAGGAACATCAGATTGTTTATTTTGTCACAGATTAATCGTTGCAGCCCTTTACTCAAATGCATGAATGAATCAAAATACAGCATAAACTAATGATGAGTGAACACTCTTGTTACAATTCTTTTAGTTCATTTGGGTTAATTTAGCTTAATATGCCCCCTTTAATGATTTGACATTGGTTTTCTCAAGGTCTTTACCACTGCATTAGGTTCAGCTTTGACTACAGCTGATTTTGTTCTTTTTTTACAGCGTGTTCCTGGTTTGTCGCCACGGTGACCTTCACATGAAACCCAATCTGGAAATGAGAGGCGCGTAAAGTGCTGACGCGGAGGACGCAGTGTGGCCCGTAGCATCGATTAGCTGTAAGTCATTTTATTGCAGTAAAACACTCGCACGCCATTGGCTCAATTACCACCATGAAGAAAGAGTCAACAGCCGTCAGCCTATTATTCAGACCAGACAAACTGTAAATATGGGTTAGAGCTGGAGATGGGCTTTGTGGACAGCAACATATATGTCCACTTACAACATTACATAAAACAACTTTATAATATTTTACTCTAAGTGGAAGTGTATGTAAGATTTTGATTTTAAATTTCATAAACTTGACCTAGATGTGTCCCTAGATACAAGGTAAACATGTTTGAATCACATATAGTTTTTAATGATAACAGTAGTGGTGTTTTATTCTGAATTACACTCAATAATGAATTACTACATTGCTTATGTTATAATTTTGTGTTTTGGTTCTCAGAAAACAGAATGAGACAAAATTGTGATACTTTTTTTTTGGTCATCGCCCAGTTGCTCCAATAATACTTGTGGGATATTAGACTTGAACATCAAATTAGCCCAATATGTTAGGCCTTTTAACAATCAAAATATAGATCTGTCATTAGAAAGAGGCAAATGATGAAATAATGTAATGTAATGTTTTTTGAGAGAGAGTTTTTTAACATCACAAATCATCTCACCTGTTATAATTCCAGCTAATTCAGTTCTTTCTGGTCTTAAAATAAAGCGCAAATTAAAGCCTAACAAGCCTCAGATAGAGCAGTGCTTGCCGTTAGCATCACACCCCCCGGGAGTGTTGACATCAGCTGCAAAGTATCAATAAATACACTGAGGTAACCTGTATACTCACAGTGTTGAAGTTGTGGAAGAGGCCAATGGAGGCGGGGTGAGGGGACTCGAGGGGAAACTGTAGAAAAGGTTTGAGGTCCAGACCAGGACTGAGGACCGCAGGGCTCCGGAGGAAAGCAGGGACTGGCCCAGGACGGCTTACTCCTCCTGGGATAAACAAGAGACAAGAGGGTGTTGAAATTAGTGCTATGATACTACAATTTCTAACACTATTTTGATACTATTTTCTCTCCGTCCCCCCTTTCTCTCCCATCCTCTCCCTCCCTCCCCATCCCTCTCTCTCTCTCTCTCTCCTTGTCTCTCTGTGTCCGTTGATGGGCAGAGCTGTATAAGCAGCTTAAGCCTCACAGCTGGGGAGCACAGATAGCAGCTCTTCTGGTTTGTCTTTCGCTGAGCACCGTTTTCTGTCACTGTTTCACGCTTTTTTTTCTCTGTCCTTTTCTGCCAGAGCCCCTCAGTGGTCTCTTCTATCCACCCTACCATTTTATACAGTCTGGAGAAATTTTGCAATATAATCTCTCTGTCTGCCTATCATAGAGTTAACAGCTCATTAAGAAGTACTGACAAAGTACTAGGGATGGTGTCATAATATCTTGCTACAAGATAAATTCGCCAGAAGACTGCACACATATGTGGAAAAGGATCTTATGTTTGACTTGGCAAATGGTCACCTGAGCTCAGTTATATTTCAGAGCTGTAGTTCTAAAAAAATAACAAAATGTGAGCTAAAGTGCACAGTTTATTTATCATAATTGTCTTGTCTCATTCTTGTGGAATTCTCATGTTTAGTCTTACTTTCTTTGGTAAAGCTTCATTCTGTCTTCATAGCGTTTCTTTTTGTCAAACAGGACTTAATATGTTTCAACTACTTTCTAAGAGCAACAAATGCCACCACTGGATCAGACAGGCCATTGAGAGCCACAAACGAGGTCCAAGGAGCATAAACCGAGACAAGGGAGCTTACACCTTATCATACAGTCCAAATGCAGATCTCCAGATGCAGTCCTGGAGAGGAAAAGCTTGTTACACGCCCCCTACTGTCTGGCAAAACCATGTTAAGCAGTCTACAAGACACTGCACCATCACATGACGCTTCTGAGGAATCTACAGGAAGTCACTGAAATTCTTTCTGACAAAAAGAATCTAGTTTCCATGTTCAGTTTTGTGGAAATTGTGTCTTGTTCAAATAGCAAGTAGTCCGAAAATGTTAAACATAACTAAAAAGACTGTTACAAACAAAATGGTTGCTTTCTGATTGTACTGATGTCTTGAGTCAGTATTACATGGCTAAGTTTATAGTTCGTAAATCTATAGACAACAATACAATGCATATATTATATTATATTATAGTTTATATAACAGGATGAGTGAATGTTGGGACTGAGGTTTTCTTATTACCGGTATGTTTAATAATGACTTAATAATTACTATCATTTAATACAACAGCCAATAAGATGACTAATTACTTTCCAGGTAATTATAGGTTCACAGATGTGACAAAATCAAAACTGGTCAAGTATTTCCAATTAAGTATTAAATTAAGCACACATTATTGGTCTAATTTATTCATATAATTTTGCAATATCTTATATTTTTTCAGACTATCATCGAACTCCCTGGTTCTCGGACGATAAAAAATGCTTTATACATGTCGATGGGACACATTATTGGTCCAATTTATTAATAAAAATGTTCAGCCATTTACAGTTTTTTCAAACTAGCATGCTAAGAGTGCACTTCTGGTTCTCGGACCATAAAAATACTTCATAGATGCAAACAGCACACATGATTGGTCTAATTTATTGAACTAATTTTGCAATAATCTTACATATTTTCAAAGCTGTGAAAGCAGCAGTGGAGTGCAGGCTCTAAATGTGTCAGTTCCCTGTGTGTTTGAATAATCCCTCTGCAGATTACAGATTATATGTAATGGTCTTCTTGTATTACCTCGCCGCTCTGTGATGACTGCTTAATTTCAGTCTCATCTCCACAGAAAAGCCGGGCACTTGTCAAAAGGAAACAGGGGAAGAAAAAGCTATTTCTGAGATGTGCGGAGAGAGAGAGAGAAAGAGAGAGAAAGAGAGAAGGAGGGAGAGGGTGACACAGAGGGAGAGAGAGGAAGACAAAAAGGGAGATGAGAGAGAAGGGGAAAGAGACAGAGAGCGGGAAGAAGAGAGGGATGCAGAGGGAGGAAAAGAGAGCGAGGGAAGAAAGAGAGGGAGAAAGAAGGGAGAGAGGCAGAGGCTGCATGGGGGGCATAACGAATGGGCTGTCAAAATAGGGGAGAGAAAGGGAGAAAGAGGTGAAGAGATGGAGGGGGAAGGTAGAGAGAGGGGATGTCAGATTTTGTCACTACATTAAGGGGAGGTATGAAACATGGTGTGAACGTCATTGCTTCAGTCATCGCTGTAAAACAAGTAAAAACGCATTACGCCTTTTCTTATGGGGTAAGGACTGTGCAATGTGTACCTGTACAAATGTAGTAGATCAGGACTTGTTTGAGGAACACTATAATTTTGATCTAAAAATGACCCATCTTTATCAATATACAAGGTAGATGATCAAATTGAGCTGTAATGCTGATTTATTCTCAATTACAAAAATAATATGACATAAGTTGTTTATGTTATAATTTGTTGTTTTAGTTCTGATTCATCCATTCAGAAAACAGAATGAGCCTTTGTTTTAAACCATAGAGACCTTTGAATATTGTGATGTCATGTAAATCCAACCTATACAAACATAGCTATATGTTAAAACCACAGAGCTCAAATGCAGCAGTTACAGCAGAGACAATAGGAGCTGTATCAATATCCCTTTTCCCTGTACACCATTTGAATCACTGTTCTGGTAAATCTGCAGCTCATTTTACGCCACATTACATTTGAAAGGTCAGACCAATTCCCACATGTTTTAGTTATATATTTATATTTCTCCAATCACAACACTAGACTCCTTCAGCCCTTGACTTGCATGTTGTAGTTCTTTATAAAGAGCCCATACGCTATTTTGTGATCTATGTCATAATGTTGTTTCCTCATCACAAACAGACCTGCAGTTTTGTTTTGTTTCATTCTCATGTTTAACATACAGACCCTGCATATTTAGGCTGAGTTCCCTCAAACTGAAAACATTCTATGTCATGTGTTAATACAGGAAGTGCTCCACTGTAGTTTTAAACTCCATCATTTGGATGATTTCAAACCTGAAATAGTTAGAACAAATAGTCTGAATAAAAGGCAAAAGGTAGCTGTTAACTTGAAATCCATCACTATCACTCCATGACATCACAAGGTGAATGTGTTTCAAGTTGTTTATAATTGAATGCTTCATATGCTCTGTTCTTTTTTTTTTTTCTTTTTTTTCCACAGTTAACAGTAGATTTTTTCTGAAAGGTTTTGTGCTTTTGTTTTGACCTGAGGTGGTCGGAGAGTTATCAGATAAGTGAAAGCCAGTTTTCTCCTCTCTCCTCCTCTCCCTCTCTTTCTTCATCTCCTTCTCTCCTCCTGTCTTTGCCATCCTCCCTCGCCTTCTTCTCCCTCTACTCCCTTTCCTCCTTCTCCTCTCTCTCCTCCCTCTCCTCTCTCTCCTCCCTCTCCTCCTTCTCCTCCTCTCTCTTCTCCTGCTCCTCCCTCTCCCTTCTCCCCCTCTCTCTCCTTCTCCCCGTTTTTTGGTGGTGGCCATGCTTGACGGAGCAGTGATTGGACACATAAAGAGGAGTGTTAAAGTGTTGAGTCGCTGCCAAACTCAATAAATCCAGAGGACACGAGCTCCAAGCGAAAAAGAACAAGAACCACTCGCACCCAACAACACACATGTTTTATCTCTTTTCTTCACTCTCTGTCTCTGTCCCCACTCTCTCCTTTTCTTTCCCTCTATTTCCTTTTCTCTCTCCAGCCCAGTATATCTTTTATTTAATTTTTTGTCACTGTCTCTCTTTTTCTTATTCTCTCTTTCTTATCTCTTTTGTACTTTCTTTCCTTTTGCCTCTCACTTTTCTTTTCTCTTGCTCTTTCTTATTCTCCCTCTTCTCTTCTTCTCTCCCTCTCTCTAGCCCTCTCTTCCTTCTTTCTCACTCTCACTCTTCCTCTTTCTGTCTCTTTCTCAGTTTCTCCCTCTTGTCTCTCAGCTCTTTCTCTATGTTGTTTTCTCTCCCTTCTATTTTCCTCTCTCAGTTTTTCTCTATTTTCTCTTCTTCTCTCTGTTTTTGTCATTCCCTTGCTCTTTTTTCTCTCTTTTACCCTCTGTCTCTTTCTTGCTCTCCAAATGCAAATGTTTGGTTGAACAAAAGATCAATGTGGATGTAATGGCTTATTGGATTTTTGCTATAGATTGTGAAAGAGCTGCATAATATTAGAATAACATTTAAGTAACCGCAAATAGAAATAGTATTGACTCTATTCACGAATCTCAGACTGATCAAAATGAGCAGTGTTATCGTAGTAATTCAAACATTCAAAACAAAATATATCTCCTGAATATTCAAAGGCCTCGACACAGGAAAATGAAATTCCCAGATCAGGAATTTTTTTGTGCAGCAATGAAGTAAAAAATGAAGACTTAATCAAAATAAAATAACGATAAGAATTAGGACGAAAATCAGATTTAAAGCTGCAGTGTGTAACTTCTCTGTTGAAAGGTGGTTAATGCTTTGCCTAGGATGTTTCATAGTACAGCATAAACCTGTCTCTCTCCATGGAAACAAGCAAGATGCCATACAGCCAAATTACAGGTCAGATCTGTGGAGAAGTGACCCCACTCAGAAAATGCATGTTTTCAATAATAAAAACCTGCAACTGAAAAAATGCAATATAGATTCAATTTAATACCATACTATATATAATTTCTTAAAGCTGCATTATGTAACTTTTTTGGTGGAGGGTCCGTCAAATACTATTCTCCATGGAAATGTTATTGCTTTGTCTGGAATACGGCCATACTAACTTGAGAATGCCCGATCTCGTCTGATCACGGAATATTACACAGTATGGTATTAAACCTTTCTATCGTCATGGAGACCAAACCTGACGAAATTACAGGTCAGATCTGTGGAGAGGCGACCCTGCTCACAGTCAGAACGTCTGTTTTTCTAGGTATTTTTGAGCTATAAAACCACCTGTAATTGATTAAATGTAAAGCAGAGCTAT